TAATAATAAATAATAAAACAGTATTGATTGATAATTTTTTTTGAATAAGTGTTTTTGTTTTCTTAAATTGATGGATTTATTTCCTTTGACTTTTTATATGCATAATTTATTACAAAAAAATATTACTAATTTGACTTAATTTTAAAAATAGTTTTTCAGGTAATTTTATTAAAAAAGAAAAAATAAATTTAACAATGATACTCTAAATAAAAACATTCCTATGACAAACCTCTATTATTATAATATTATATATATATATATATATATATATATATATTAATTAGTATTTTAAATAAAAATGAATAAACAATTAAAATATTAATTTATTGAGTTCTAGAGAATGTTTTTCTTATATCTCTAAATATCAACTTTCAAAGAATTTATGTTGAGGTGTAAATTGGGAAACAAATTGAAGGCATGAAGATGACGTATGCTGTAAAGGACTATCATCATGGGACCCATCATCACATGATGATGATGCTGTTGTCGAGACAAATCAAAATATCACACATCGCTATCACAAAATATCTCATGTTTGAAACTACGTTTTTATCCTTGTACATCAAATTTAAAACTGCAGATTATGCTAATTTATACTTTCAATGTCACATTTTATTTATAACCATTAATACTTTATTTTTATTGTTTAATATAAATCTACATAAGTAATCTTAATTTTGGAAAAATAGTCTTCTACTTTAGACATGCTTCATTTAGGTTAGGTCTAATTTTGTATTATTATTTTTTAGAGAAATTGGCCTTAATAAAATTGTTACTATACTTGATTATTTTTAAAAGGGAGAAGTGTATTAGTATACTTGTTTTTAGCCCTGGACTTTATTAAGATGTGCAACAGTCAGTGTTTATGATAAACAAATGTCCATCTAAAAAATATATATAATTGTATATTATTTTTTATATTAAAAGCCTACTCGTGGTTAAAATATATTACGGTCCTGGTTGATTTTTTTAATTAAAAAAAACATTTGTGATTAAATATTTTTTGACAAAATGTAAATAAAAACTTAAATTAAAAAAAAAAAACTAAAATTAGTATATTAATAAAGAGCGAAAATATAAACACTCTTTAGGATAAAATTATATTTGTTAATAATTTATAAACATGAATAATTTAATAATATTATGATATTAATAAATTGCAATGTAGACAATGATTTATCAATAAGGTCCTATGGTCTAGTGGTTAGGACATTGGACTCTGAATCCAGTAACCCGAGTTCAAATCTCGGTAGGACCTTATCACAATTTTTTTTTTATTTTTGTGTTTTTCTTCTTTTGAAACAGATCATGATCTTAAAACAAAAGGATAATTTTTGACAAAAAGCTCAGTCAGTGTTCTTCCTTAACCAGTGCTTCTAACCAAATAAGAGTGATAACTGTTACCTCTTATCCATTGTTGATTGCACCTCCATCTTCACATTGAGTTCTTTTGTGCCGGATCGACCAAATAAGAAGAAAAATCAATAGATGTTTGTTTCTTGTCAAAAATACAACCCCTACTTTCCCTGTTCCTCGTTTCCACTGCACAACCCAACAACAACATGCACCATTTTCAATTGCCAAAACCCAAAGGAGCATCACTCCATTCTCCGGAAGCACAATTCCAAATCCACTGCCTATCTCCTTCAGCATCTCGCTCTCAAAGATGGGGTACCCATTTCCACTTCCATTCCCAAACCCAGCGAGCTTCTAGACCCAATGCCCCACGATGAGAAAGTGAAGGTTTTGGAGCTTTCCCTCGTCAGAAAAAGGACCCCTCAGTTTCCCGGTTCCATCTACGCTCAATCTCCCGGCGACCCTGATGTGGGTTCTTCTCTGCCCCCTATCCGCACTCTCTTTCAATCAGGTGTGGACTTTGATGATAAAGATGAGAAGGAAGAGGAGGAGGAGGAGATGATTATGCGCGCTCTCGAGATTCGAAGAAAGGTCACCGAAGAGGTTTTCAAAGAAGCCATGCGGAAGGGAAAGTTTGGAATCACCTACTCTACTAATTTGATTGGCAGGTTATCCGGTTTTCTGGATCATATCATGATTGAAGCTGCTAACTTGAAAAGATTGCCCGGGTTTTCAAACTCCTCCTTCAATTTACGCGCCAAAACTGTTATTGACGACTCTAAAGTTGTGCCACTTATTAGGTGAGAACTGAGGTTGACAAGTTGTTCGTAAGCTGTTTGTTCTGTTGTCTGTGTGAAACCAAATGGGGTAATGAAAGTTCTAAACTTCGGTAACCGTGACAATGCTGTCACGAACTTTGGTGCTGTGGGAAATTGCAGACAAAATGCGGCCAATGTGGCTGCAATTGTAGTGGTGATACGATTGTAGTTACTCCAAAAAACCTTGATGCTAAATTGCTGGCAAGGATAGTTTTTTAAAACCTTGGGGATGATCATCCTTATTAGTTATTTCTTTCGAGTGTTTTCAGTGTGAGATTTCAAATTCAAAAGGTTGTGCTTGATTGTGCAGATGGTTGAAGCACAATGCACTGTCATATCCTCGGATAGCGAAGGTCATTTTGATGTCAAGAGGAAAACCTGAGGCCATAAGAAGTTTTGTCATGTGGTTGAAATCGGTACGTGTGAAAGGTGAGTTTCTCGGTGTTGTAATGTTGAAGGCCGGAGATAATATTTTGCAGCGCAGACATGAGGAGCTGGATGAGATTGTTCAATATTTGGAGTCCAATGGAGTTAGGAGGGATTGGATAGGTTATGTCATTAGTCGTTGTCCTCAGTTATTGTCTTACAGCTTAGAAGAAGTGAAGATTCGTGCTCATTTCTTCCTAGATATGGGTTTAAATGAGAAGGATTTTGGGACAATGGTTTTTGATTTTCCTAAAGTTCTTGGTTACTATTCTCTGGAAGAAATGAATGAAAAGGTACATTAGATTTTAGCATACTGTAAAGTAATAAAGCTGTCTTGCAATGCATCCTCACCGTCTTCTTTCATGCTTTGTTAGTTTATTTAGTTTTAGTATCATCCAAATAAAACACAAAGGAAGTTTAAAGGTTTATGTATAAAGTTTACTTTGATGTGCAAGTTGATGGTTGTTTGATGTCCAGTGGGAACCTTCTAATGTATTTTCAGGTTAATTACTTAAAAGAATTTGGGCTTCAACTTGAGGATGTGGGCAAATTGCTTGCATTTAGGCCACAATTGATGGCGTGTAGTATCGAGGAACATTGGAAGCCTCTTGTAAAGTATCTGTATTATTATGGGATCACTCGAGATGGCATGAAGAGGATGCTTATCATTAAACCAATGGTGTTTTGTGCTAACTTGGAGAAGACTATTGTTCCAAAGGTATGCAAACACTCCTTTTTATTTGTTTCTGTTATCAGTTGGGTGGTTTTTTAGATTAAGGTGGCAGCTGGTACGATTTTGTAGTGCTACTTTGTACATAGGATTGGTTTTGCTGTCATTATTAAAGTTTAGTAGAATAAAAAGTAAAGTTTCCAATGATTTTTGTATTGTTTCTTGAGGAAAATGAGACATTTGTTATTTTATTGTCAAGGTAAATTTTTTTGAGGACATAGGGGTTCACAATGAAGGGATTGGCAGCATGCTTGTGAAGTTTCCACCTCTACTCACTTACAGCCTGCACAAGAAAATTAGACCAGTGGTTTGTTCTTTTCTTCAGCAACCATGTTAGTTCCTTCATGTAAAAGACATTGCTGCATGAACATGATAAGCTAATCGCCATAATTAAATGTGTGGCTCTTCTAGAAACATTAATTGAATATGTTGCTGAAATGTGAACATTGTATAGGTTATATTCTTGATGACCAAAGCTGGAGTCACAGAGAAAGATATTGGCAAGGTTATGGCTCTTGGACCTGAGCTCTTGGGATGCAATATAGTACATAAGCTTGATGTGAATGTAAAATATTTTTTATCTCTTGGCATACGTCTTCGGCAATTGGGTGAGATGATTGCTGATTTCCCGTTGCTCCTCCGATACAATCCAGATGTCCTTCGTCCCAAGTATATTTATCTGCGAAAATCCATGGTCAGGCCTTTGGAAGATGTCATTGAGTTTCCAAGGTATCACATAATTATATTTAACCTGAAGTAGATTATTTGAAAAAAAATCGTGTTTGATTCTTACTCCTTTTTTTTACCCTTGCCATTGTCAGGTTTTTCAGTTATTCTCTTGAGGGTCGAATTATCCCAAGGCACAAGGTTCTAGTGGAGAACCATATTAATATTAAGCTGAGATATATGTTGGCTAGCACTGACGAAGAATTCCACAAAATGGTTAAGGACTTGATTGGAAAGCGCAGAAGATTTGAATCTGCTGTCACAAATGAGGGTACTACCCATCCCCAATCTGTTATCACTGAAGATATTTCTACACCTCAGGCATAAGAAAAATTGATGGCTCTGCAGAAAATAGAATGGTGGTTGAATTTTAGAAATTAAAGCTGTATATAGTAACTTTAGTCCCTTAACTTCAATAGTCTGAGAAGTGATTGCCATATAATCATAATTTTTCTTCACAGAGAAGGTGCTAAATGACATGATAACATTTGGTTTAAACTGAGTGCAGAAAAATGTTGAAGACTTAGTGGGCGAGAATGGGCTCCTACGTCTTTAAAAAGAAAAAGAAGCCTGCAATTTGGCAAGCGCTGTCTCGTATGAAAATATAGAATTTCTGCAGAGTGAGGCTATGACACTACCTCCAATTGAGAAGACCTGACCTGTGTACAGTTTGCAATTATTCGTGAGGATGGTTTGAGTATTTTTTTTTTATCAGCAGAGTTACGATGGTTTGAGGTATATGCTTTTACACAAAAAATGATTGAAATTATTCCAATAGTTTTTATTGGACAATGTGTTCAATTGGTAAATAAACAAAAGCAAACCACTTGTAGTGATACGCCCTGTCGTTGCAATGTAATAACTTCATCGTAAAATCTCAACTACAAGAAATTTAAATTTAGCAGCTTTTCCGTCAATTATTTTTCAGAACACGAGAAAAAATAAACACAAAAAGGCCTAACTTTCTCCCGTATCAAAATTCTTATACAAAATCGAACTAATAATCTACAGGAAGTGTTTAACCTAAGGGGCAAAATAAATTGCAATCTATAACTCATAAGAAATACAAGAGATACACATGAATCACTTTAATCAATTCCAAGACGACATATAGGATTTTTCTTTATGAGCCCAAGATCCACCTGCGAAAACAAAAAAAAAACATCACTGGGTATGTTTAAAAAATATTTAATTTAAACTACATGGACAGAAATAACCAGATTGCATTTATCCCTTAAAAATACCTTGTGTCCGAAGAGATCTCTGATGTTATCGATCCCGTATAGTATCATCGTTGGCCTGTTTCCAGGTAAAACAAGTTAAATCAACATGTTGCACTACATTTTATAAGCTCCGTTATTTGTCGTTTTGGTGCGGCAATATTATAATGAGAATTTAAATTTTAGAAATTAATTCTTTTTATTCTCAGTAATGGTAATAGTGTTGTATGGCTCTTCTCACCTTTCAAGGGAAAGCCCCCACGCAATAACTTGGACATCTTCAGGAAGTCCCATCGGCTGCAACATTTCAGGTCTGAACATGCCGGAGTTTCCCACCTCTACCCATTTTTTAAAACCTTCATGATAACTGTTGAAAGTACTTGATCAATAAGTTATCTCAGGATATCCAAAATCAGATAAGGACATGCCAAGTAATCATTACAGAAAGACTCACCTAAAGATCTCCATGCTAGGTTCAGTGTATGGATTGTAAGCTGGTTTGAACTTCAGTTTGGTCATGCCTAAACTCAATAACAGAATAATCGTACTTACTACTAAAGCCTTTCAATCTACTAAAGCCTTTCAATCGTTCATTAACATTTGAATCTTTTTCAGTACAGGAGAACATTACCTAAGCGTGAGAAAAAATCATGCAGGACTCCTATTAAGTCGGACAGAGTGAGTCCCCGATCACATACAAGACCTGAATTAAAACATAAAATTGTAACATGCATAAAAATAGGACCACCAAAGGTAATCTGTTTTCGTTTGTGCATGAACAATTTGCAGAGTTAAAATCACAGGGTCAGGATAGCTCCAAAATACCTTCTATTTGGTGGAATTCCGCAAGATGTGTCCGATCAACTGCTTCATTTCTGAATACACGATCGATAGAGAAATATTTTTTGGGGGCAAATGGTTTCTGCATATATATCAAAATGCAGAGCAAAATAAGGAATCATGCAATATACAATTCAGAGCTAGAAACTTGGAAGATAATCACGTATTATGTGTCATTAGTCCAGCTGAAACCAATATGTCGACATTATTAAGATATTTCATCTAAAATCATCAGGAAGAGTAAGAATAGTAGGGGGCCTGAACGGCACCAAACAGTATGTAATGATATGCATCCACAAGCACATGGCACCAGCAAGTTCATACAGATACCTGTGCTAGTTGGTAAAGCATCCTGGAGGAAACAGCAGTTGTATGGGTTCGCAGGAGGTTTTTATTTGCTTCCTCTCTCTTCCAGTCATATGTATATCTACCAAGAAAGAAATTGCAATGTTTTACAGAAAGCATATCCCTCTATTGATAGTAAATAGCCAATGCTATAAGTTCTGAGTTCGGTAAAGGTCATACCCTCTAGACCCATAACCACCAGATTCATGAACTTGCTTCACTCTCAGAACATAATCTTCTGGCAATTCCTTTGTTGTTGAAGGAGCTGCAAATATGTGTTTCAGGTTCTCAAAATAGAAACAGATGATACAAGATTAGCATGACGAAAACAACTAAGGTTTTACTAACTTTCCAAAAAGAACGTATCATGTGAATCACGAGCTGGGTGTTGTTGGGGCTGGAACAGGGCATCAAAGTTCCAGAAGCTGCAGATTTTCATTCAGATGTAAAATTTATGATGAGAAAAAACTTATAACATTATATAGCCTGTTAGATTTAATACTTTTAAAGATAAAATCTATTATCTACATAAGACATATAAGAGTCAAGGGCACAGATTTAACAAAATGAATCTAGATTTAGAAAATATATAAATGCAACTTCTATTATGATGTTGCAATGCATTGTTCACAATATAGAACAAGAGTTTCTTCTCCAGGTCTCGAGTTACTACAAAAATAACCTTTCCAAGTCATTTCTCTATGATAACAAAAGAGAAATAGCTCCACTAGTTACTTTGATGTCATTCAAAGGTCCAATGAAACAGTTTACAGAAGATAATATCATCTTTGAATACTCCAACAAAACAAAAGCTACATTCATTCTTGGAAGGGGAGAATTTTATTTTCTGAATTAAAATCTCTAACAGTTAAGATGTCCAAAGTCTAGGACATTTCTTTGATTTTCAGTTATACTGAAGATTTGCTAAAGAGGCACCTGCCTTCAAACACTTGGAACATTTGTTTCACCTGCTTGCTTGAAAACCTTGGTTAACACCGGATATCTTGTTTTAGTTGAAAGGGTACATACAAGGAGCTTAATATATAAATTTTTTCAAACAATTACCTGCTCTCAACAAAATTATTTGTTGGCATCTCCTCAAACCTGCAGTACGAAAAATTAAGATTAAAAACTGTTAAACTTTTAATTTGAAGTGAATATTTAACACAAAAAACTTCGTACTTCCAAAATAACAAATATAGAACTCACCCCATGCAGAGGAAAATCTGTTTCAACTGAGATCGTACCTGAAAGCAGAGAAATTTCAGAAGTATTAAACACATTAAATATTGTCAAAAGTATTTTTTTGGGCATAGTATTGCCATTATTAATAACAAAATTCTTCTCCCCATAGGTCGGCTAAGTATGTTAACCATTGTCATTGTGCTCTATAAAAAGCTGAAATGTCATAATGAAATTGTCTATCTACACATCATTCGGATTTGACGAAGTTTTATGTTGCCAATAACAGCCAAGCACAATCATCCACAATTTTTTGGGCTAGGGACAGGCAAATAACACAACACAAGGAAGAGATCGCCTCCATTATAACATAAATAAGTTCTAAAATTTCTCAGTATAAAATTTAAATATGTAAAAATAAACTATATTCTTATTTGTTTTCCAGAATATAAATGTTATTTATTGTGAACAAAGTTTCTATAACATATACTATTTTAATATTAGTTTAATCTAAATATCAAATAAAGGTTGGGGGGAAAAAGAACAGGATATATCTCCTTGCCTTCAGCAATGGATGAAGATTGCCACCCTCAAGAGGCTGACCTTTAGCACTATAATTGTACTCCTTGAACTCTAGTTCCTTCCACTCACCACTGACATAAAAAATAAAGTCAGTTCATAAGATACGCAAATAATGTCTTGCACAAAGTAGGCATTTGAATCCGGAGGTTATAACCATTCACTTTCAGTTTAAGAAAAAAAATACCTCTGAAAATTATCACGAGTCAGGTCAGTGACGACCTTCTTTCTTTTGGGCGCATAATTTGGACCTTTTTTCAAGGAGTAACCCTTCCACGTTCTAGATCACAAGACACCAAGAAGAACTTTAATAATGAAAGAATACTTAAGTCATTTAGAGCACATTAAGTATATCCAAAAAACTATTCAACACAACCAAGACAAATTATTATTACTGTGGGACAATGAGCTTTCTTGCTTTGAGTGCTTTGATCTCATCTGAACCAATGTTCTGCATTTGCAACATATGGTAAAATTTCTAATCAGACATGACAATTTATCAGGGAAAACTGCTGAAGAAAACTATAAGATTCTCTAAAAAACTCTAAAAGGAGGAAGCAGAAAAGTTCAACAATAATAATAGTTCAAAACAAATCCCCCCTTTCCACTTCTTGTAATTGTCTCATATGTTGAGTTGAGTATGATGCTCTATAAAACCTTGCCATTTCCCCCAAAGTATTATTCCACACATAAGTCCTACCTTGAGTGCATATACCCAAAAACAACTCCATTTAAAAAATGGTTGGTACCAACAAAAGACATTACCTTGTAGTGTACCCAGCTAGTGATTTAACATAGCTCGTATATCACAACATTTAAAAGTACTTAAAAAGTTCTCAGTAAAAAATATTCATATTAGTACACATACCCGCCCTTGTTGTATTTGAATAAGAAGATCTTTGACCTTGTCATCCACATGTTGAACCTGCGACAAGAAACAGACTTCTCTAAAATACTCGGTAAATCATGAAGTCATCCCCACAGGCTGCACAAAATGTGGTATACTTCTACTACAGGCAAATGCACAAAAAACGAAGTAAAGAAAATCTAAAACTAGAATTGCAGAAAAGCAATAATGAAAATAATCACACACAGACACACACACACACTCTCTCTCTGCAACCTATAGCAAATGTACTGGCACACAATACAAGCTAACTCGAGAGAGAAGAAAAAGGGTCAAAACCGATTTTCCTAATGAATTCACTATATGGACTCAGGCGACTCAACTCGGATAAAGAGAGAATCGTTCCATCTATCTGATAACCTAGTCCAAGCACGCAAAACCCAATTTTCCTTACAAAAATATTAATGTCTTAATAAAGAGACACAACGTACCTTTCTAGAAATCAATTGTTTTCCCATATCAACCCATTTGTTCTTTGCAGCCTGGGCACAACCTATCTTGAAGAGCGAAGGATCCAACTTTTTCTACAACCAGCAAACAAATTCGATTAACAAAACCTATAAATTTACAGAAAGGAGAGTGAACAGACATATAAATAACCTGAAGGTCTTCTTTAGAGATACCCTCCGGGGGAATGGCCAGAAAGAGTTGAACTTCCGGTGATCCCACAGTGGCATAGGTTTTACCCTCATCAGTTAGCACCCATGCCTCTCTCTTAATGTCTTGCGCATCCACGTATCTGAAACCGTGCAGGCTCTTAATCACGTTCACGATCTCGTTATGGTCAATGCCGCGTTCAGCTGCGAACTCACCCGAGTCTGTAATTTCCTCGTTCTTCTCTAGATAGCCCAGAACTGCTTCTTCCGCCATTCTCACACTCTTAGCTTCGCCGCACACCAGACCACACTGCGTTTAGAAACAAAATCGGAATAAGAGAGATAGGTTTCGTACGGCGCCCTTATTGGGCCGCATAACTCGTGTTGGGCCGGCCCAATAAAAAAAAACAAGACTGAGTAAGTGATAGTAGGGTTTTAGTACCACTTCCGGTTAGGCTAACGGGGTTCTAGCATAATGGCTTCCGCGGTAAGGGTCGCGTCAAGATCCTTCGCTAATCGTTCCGGAACCTTCGTCCAGAGCTCAACGACGCAGTTTGTGTTTTCTTCGTCTTCCTTAACACGCATCCCTCGAGCTTTAAGGTACAGCATGCTTCAATCAACAATTCTTATTGATCTGCATTGCCTTTTGCGGTTGACATTATGGATGAATTTCGCGTTTGATAGGGTTTTGTCGGTTGTGAGAAGCGTTGAGTCGTTCATGCCTCTTCACAGTGCTATCGCGAACGCTAGGCTCACGTCCAATATCGCCCTGGATTCCTCCTGCTGGAGCTTGCTTTCTCGAGGTACTACTTCTATGCTTCTTCTTAAGTACACTACGCGTTCTTTTACTCGTAATTGAGTCGATAATGGTACCATAGGTGTTGTATTGTCTGTTTTTGCACTATGCTTGTAGCTAACAGCGATGTTTTCGGGAGCTAATTATGTTCTAGTATAACACGCGTCCATTAGATTTAGGTTCAAAATATTATCGCAATTTGTGACGGGAATTTTGTTGAAAGTGATAATTGTAAGTCTAAAAACAAAGGAATATATGGGGAAAAATGAAATTAAATCTCATTACATGGACTTTGGAATTAACGTTCCCGTTTCACACCTCTATTTCAAGCTCTGCCTTTGATTATAATTTAGAAGAATGAAACAAGGCATGGCCATGGTATTTCAGATTCCATTGATTTGTCAGTTGGCATATCAGACGTTCAATAAGAGAAAGTTGGTGTGAAAATATCAAAATTTTCGGGAAAGGGAATGAGATTTGAGATAGATATGCTGTTTATGTTGTAATCCTAATTATTGACTGTGTGATAGTGTTTTGAAAATGAGGGATTTTGCGCAGAATACATGAGCCATGATTAGTTTGAAACTTAGAAAATTGCTACTATTCTGCCAATATAATGTCTTTGTTTTTTATATATATTCCCATTGATTTTGTAACATAAACTGTGTTACTCCGCAATATTCCTTGTTCCCACCTCTAATGAAAGCATATTAGAAGAATCTGACGGATAATTAGAATCAATTGTTCAGGGTAGTATATTACCAAATAGTGTTTCTCGACAAAACTAGTCCCATTTACATATTCATAAATTTGAAGTTGATTGTGGTACGAGTTCAACTTTGGTGAGCTGGGGGCAATATTTTTTGGGTTGTTGGTAACTTGTTATTGCAAAACCATGTGAATGTCTTTGGAATTATAGAGAACCATCCTTGCTATAAAACATTTATAGTAACATATCAAGAAGGAGTTCTTGGTTATCAGAATATCCTAAGTTTCCTTTAATCGTTTACATTATGAATGTGGGGGTACAAGATTCTAGATGTTTTGACATGCTGGTCTAAAATAAGAACATACCAAATACCTCTTTAGTGGTAGTATCACTGTCAGATGGGTACCTAGTGTGGTAATTACCTCTGTCTTCTTTGTGCACATCCTGACAACTTCTTTTACTTTGTTGCATTAGGACTTGAAAAAACATTGTGACAGGCCAGCTGGATCCATTCAAGATGAAAGAAAAAAATGAGAAAGAGAAAATCATAAGTTTCTCTCTGTCTCACCATAGTGTGGGAATAGAACTTCAAACTTTTAATTTTTTTTGTCAATTGTATTGTAATATCTCCTAATGCAGATTATTATAATTGAATTTCGTGATTGCCTGAAAATAGGTGACCAACATGCTCATAATTACTCTTTCCTGAAAATTTTCTTGAATGGTTTTGGAAGGATTAACTATATGATGCAAGCTTCTTTAAGGATGTCAAAATGTTGTTTCTGTTGCAGATATATCTTTTAGGGATCAAAGGGGTGTATTTAGTCATTTAATCTATTTTATGTTGGTTCCTAGTTAAAGTGTCATGACCTGTCCAATTATTTTCTCTCGACATATGCCACTTTAATGCTATAATGGCATTGTATTTAACTATCAATTTAGCCCTCAATGAGAAGTGAAACTAAGTTGACAACAGAAAATTGTCGGAAATTAATCTGGGGCTGCTTATACGTGAATAGCTAAAATATCTCGTGATTTCATAATAGTTGTAACATAAAATTTAAATTTTGAAGTTCATGGTGTCAAGAAGAGCAATGGTTTGTGCTGTTAGATTTTTGACCGAGGACATAATATGTGGTCTTTTTCTCACGAGTTAGATATTTCCGTCCTTATTTTTTCATGTTGAAACTTCTTTCTTCGTCTTGTCTATTGGGAAGGAAAATGAAATGCTTCAAACTTAATTCCCTGGATTTTATTCCCTCCTGCTGATTGTAATCCATATTTTTCGTTGATTTGTCCTAGACTTTGCAGTTCCTCGGTGACAAACTAAAGGTTTCCATCATATCAAATTATAGTGGGGTTGCCATAGACTTAATGTTGCCTCACACCATACTCCTGGTTTAATTCCTTTGTGGCTGTCACATGAATTGGAGTCCCTTCATACCACCTTGGAGCATCAAAATCCAGTTTGAAAAACAATGCTGTTCTATTACTAATTTAAACCTCCTATCAATTTCCTCCAGATTGTGATATAAGGTAACGATTCCAAATATTGCTGAATAATCTTTCACCTCCCATTCGAGTTATGCTTCATAAAATGCCCAGCTACTCTTTACCAGTTCCAGTTGGTCTAGAAAGCATTGTCTGTAACTTTCTTAAAATTTGATTTTTTATTTTCGAAGATTTTTTTCATTACACAAACATGTATGGTCGGCCAAGAATTTGGAGGCAGTTTTAGCTGAATTTATTTTTTCGTTAGTATAGTATTTAGCATCCTGCTAGACTTTTATGTGAGCCATGCTTTTATCCTCCCCCTCTTCTTTTTCAACGTTTTGTCCAGGTTATGGGAATGGGGAGGTGTTATTTTTATGATGTTAGGGTCGAACTTTCCCAATTGCACATGCATGCCGGGCACTTAGTGTTATGCTATTTTGGTGGGGTGAGGTTCTAGCAAAAGGTTTGGTTTGCTGATTAAATTCGTTTGGTATTTCAGTTAGGTCAGAGACTAGTTCCCATTTGAATTCTCATTTACAAGGTATTATAAGACACTTCTTTTCTTAAATGAAGGAGGTACTAGAACCATTTATTCTAAAAAGACATTTAATGTAATTTTGTGGGAATGAAGTAGTCCAATTTTCCAGATTTGAATTTTGTAATGAGGGATTAGCGGAAAATGGAAATTCAATATAGGCATGTGCACAATTATCATCCTTACATTCCTAAATTTGGAAAATGAAGTCCAACATTACTACTATCTTGGCTGTCATTCAATCCATTTCTGGTTTTGGTTTAGTTGTTTTTTTAATAGACGATTTTAGTCTTTTAAACATTTAAAAATATTAAATATTAGTCTGTTTATTTCTAAATTTAAATTTTAGTGGCAGTTTTTATAATAAAAAATTTATAGAATGAATAATTTAACTTAATATCTGATATTAGTTATTATTTATTTATAAAGATAATATTTAGTAACATTTTTTTACCATCACATAATTGATAAAATGTTTAAATTCAAATATTTTTAAATTTTCAAAATTAATTAACTTTTAAAGTTTGCATATTAACGTTAAACCTGATGGAAAATTTAAAGACTTCAATATATATTTATCTTCGTTATATTATGTAAATGTGAATAAGATATTAAAACATAGTAATATAAATATTGTTATTTTTTTATATTTCGAACGTAATATTAATATATTGTTTGATGATGAATGTTTAACCAATCTTATGAGAATAAATTTTAGTCATAATCTTCGTTATATTATTTAAATGTGAATAAGATATTAAAATATAATAATATAAATATTGTTACTTTTGCATATTTATTGTTTGATGATAGGTGATTAACTAATGTTATATTAAGAAGTGAATTTTAAATTTAATTTAAGTTTATAAAATTAGTTTATAATATGAATATATATTCTGAATTAATATTATTTTTAGTCTTATAAAATAAGGTTCGTATTTATTTGTATATTTAAAATTAATATTATTTTAGTTGATGTAACACTTTCAATTATAACAAATGATACAATTTAATTTACTTTTGACTATTAGTATGACTTGGTGTTTAGTTTACTATTTTGTTCACGTTCGTCCTCAAAGCGGATTTAGGATAAAGAAAGTGAATGTTTTTTCAAAGAAAGTGAATGGTTTTTTATTAGAAGATGTTTGTTAGACGAACAGAGAAAGATTGGTCTTCTCCATCAGTTTTATTATGTAGTTGTCTGAAACTAAACCAAAACAATAAAAAAAACAACTAAACCAAAACCAAGACCAGAAAAAGGATATGCATAAACCTAAGTCCGTTTAAATTGATGAAGCTAAGGTTAAAGACTTTTTTTAATTTTCAAATTATCATGTGCTAAAACTAGTATTTTTATTTTTTTTCTAGTACTTTAATACTAAATATTTAATAAATATGTTATTTTTATCATACGAATTTAACTCTTAAATTAATATTGCTTACAAATAATTATCTTAAAATACTGATATTTAATATTAACAAAATAGACAGAGTGACCATGAAAACTAAATTAATATATTTATTAAATATTGAGTAAATAAGGTCAAAATAAAAAACTTATTTCATTTACTCTTGAACAGTGGATTAAAGTTTTTGTACAGTAGATTATGATAGACTTTGTCTCTTACGGTGAAAAGGAAAAATAAAATAAAGCAAAAGAAAGACATGAATAGCAATAATTCTTATTTGATTAGAACAAATGACTTTTAAAACAGAAACATCTTTATTTTCAACTTTTTCATTTTCTTTATGTCATCAAACAAATTAATAATTAGTCATTCGTGATATCACATGTTATTCACACTAGCGAAGGAAAGTCGCCTCAATTTTATTTATTGGTAATTATTTATTTATTGGTAATTATTTTTAAAATGTAAATAATTTATGATAACGAAGGGCAAATTAGACAGATGTAATAAACTTATTTAGACTAAGTTTGACGTCTTTAATGAAAATTAAGAAACAAACGGAAAGTATGTTTGTTTGTTAGCAATTCTAACTTTGCAAGGTATCCATCCAAATACATCTCTCAACAGCTATTAGGACGAGGCTTTGAGAAACACAAACAGATCAGAATTTACGTCTTTTTCAATTCACCCACACACCAACCCTTAAAACTTCATACAATGCATTCTCTCATCTCCCTCTCCTTGTGCTTATGGATGTATTATTTTCCGTGGATAAGATCTTGAGAATAACAGATACCGAAGGACCCCACTTCCTCCATTAAAATAACAATTTTTATTTTATATTCATCACTTCAAAATACCAAAAAAAAACATGAAATCTGGATTCTTCCCATATTTCTATATAATCTGGATTCATTCTGTCGTGTTCAACCAAACAGAGAAGAATCCTTGTTTTGAGGACTTGGGTCTGATCTCCGTGCTCGGATAGATCCTCCGCTTCTCTCCTCGGCGTTCGTGCCTGGCACCGATTCTGGGTGTTAGCCAAAAAGCTTTCTTTCCTTTGCTCCATTACAAATTTCCTTTCTTTTTCCTTTGGTGAGTGCCTTGTGGTGTGGTGGTTGGTGTTAAATAATGCGTTTCCGGTTTTGGTGATGTATTCGCACCAATGCGTGGTTCCTGCTAGTGATACTTTTGTCGTGTTTCTCTGTCGTCTTTTGCCGGCTATTCTGTCTAATTCTATAGAAAGGAAATTAATTTCCTTTGTGATTTTTGTGTGTGATCCGTTTCTTCCTCTTTGTTTCACTGTACGTGTGTGGTTAAACACTTAGAATTTATGGTTTTACTTCGGCAAATTGGTGGATTGTCTTGTTGTGGTATAATTCACTGTTAAAAAAAATGGGTATCAACGGAATTATAGAAAGAGACACTGTTTTCTGCTGATTTAGCCTCCAAATTTGTACATACTAGAGGAGTTTATTGATTTATCTCCTTCACTCCCTCTTATCCTCTCTTTTTTGGTTATTCTTTCTTCAGGTTCGAACCTTTACATTCGCTTTATTGTTCTCTCTTTCTTCGATTCATCTACTATATCGATTTCTGAATCAATTTCTTTTTTACGGTTACCTTATCTGATTGGGTGGGATGCTGTCATCTTCTTTATCTTACTCAACTGGGTTGTATCTTGTGTTAAGTGGAACTGTGCTTGTTTGATTTTAGTATTAGTTTGCTTTTAATCTTTATTATCGGTTTATTATTTCTTATGCTTTGTTTCATTCAGAAATCTAGATGTCTCATAAGGTTAATGGGGTTGGTTCTTTATTTTTAGATTTAATTCCCCTTCCCTTTGTCATACTGATGTATAAATGATTGTCTTTTTTGTGCTCCTATTGTCCAGATTTTCTTCTGTGAATGAAACTGAACTGAATTCACTTCGTTGCTGGCGTCTGTGCTTCATGTGGATTAGTGTTGACACAAGTTATTGTCCCAATGGAAATTAAGAATTTGAGTGAGGAGGAGAATTAGACTGTCTGGCTATGGAGAATTCTTCTAAGGCGAACGGAAATGGATCAACTGAGGATGGATACTCTATTGCGAGGCACTCTTATCAACCCTCCTTGAAGGGGTCATTACCTTGGCTGGACATAAAGGTATTCTATGTAAGAGTGTGCAAGTGTGAGCTTGATGATTCCACTCCTGGGTTTCTTACATTGAACCATGTTCCTTTGAATCCCGACACTCTTCTTGAAGTTAATGGTGTTCGAACTAGCATATATTCTGATGGGATGTCAACACTTCTCAAAAGAGACAGGGTAGATAGAAAATCTGAAGAAGTGACTTTTGTAAGCACCGATAGCATAAGGATGAGTGGGAGTGTGAAGTTTGAAGTGTTTGATAGAGATGTTCTGCTGCTCTCTGGTGTCTTGGAATTATGGAATACCAATGGTGTTGTTAGGGAAAGTTATAATGGACAAAGGTGGAGCATGAACTGTGAGTCATACATAATTCCAGGCACTAGCTTCTTTAAGGGAAAACAATTGCCATCACCAGACTCAAATCTCCCATCAATTGAGGTCTACATTACAGGCTCCTTCTTGGGTACTCCAATTATCTTAACAAAATCCTTGCAGCTTTCTCAGAAAAAGCATGCAAAGAAGGGGGTGTTGGATGTAATTCCAGAGCATGAGGCCAGTGAAAATGGGAAGCATCATTCTTCTACACTTGCTTTTGAGGTAAGTAGTGTCTGTGCAGTTATATATTAGCGATCTTCTTATATTTTCATCTTTTGGTCTGCCATTTCATAAGTTAACTGATGTATGTATGACTTTGCTTTTACTGCCTTAATTCACCTGTGTTGAGTCATTTTAAAGTAGGATGGTTTAACACAGCATTTATATCTGATGGATTTCAGACCTGAAAATAACCTATGATCTGCTTTCATCGTATTACTTTGCTTCCTAAAATTATTTTGTTCACTTATGTATTGTTTTTTTATGGCTAGCTGTCAAGAAAAGGACACCATTCATGTCTAGTTCTTCATTTAAATTTGGTCCCCGCTGTAACAAATGCAATTAGCTAATCAGCATTACATAATGAGTGTTGAATTTTCTCCCTTGAATATGTGGAAATTTGATAACCAAGATTGTAATTTGAAGAAGATCCTTTTTCTTTTTCATAAATTAAAGACCATCCATCTTAATATTTTTACATGTCAATCATGCAGGCTCCAGATTACCTTTGCGACAAATATGAAGATGAAGATTATAACAGCCTCTACTCAAGAACAACATATGCTGATGGTGAAGATGGAGAGCTTTCTTGGTTCAATGCTGGTGTTAGGGTCGGTGTTGGTATTGGACTTAGTGTTTGTCTTGGCATTGGCATTGGAGTTGGCCTTCTTGTTAAAACCTACCAAGGCACCACTAGCCACTTTAGAAGACGGTTGTTCTGATTGGTGTTTTATTTTTAAAGCTTAAAATTCTCTGCTTTTTGTCCATCTCACTCTTAATCCATAGACAGCTAACCTTATTTTTGTCCATATCCCTCTTGGTCCAGAGGCAAGAGGCTAAATATCTTGTCCTACTGAGTGGAGTTTTTATTTTTTATTTTTTTCTTTGGAGTTGTTGTATGTAAAATAGTTCATTTTTAGTGCCATAATGTGTCAGTTATATGATGACATAAAGTAAAGCAGGAAAAAGTTTTCCAATATTGTATCTATTTATGAAGGTGGTGAACTGATGAGGTAGTGATATCACCATTTGACTTAGGGGAGAATTATTTTAATTTTGATTTTCCTAATGACAGTAATAATCCTCCTTCAACAGAGTAATTAGAAATTGCAGAGGAAGGTTGCATTCCATGGGAGAGAGGTGACATGAGGATCCATACTCTTCAAAAATGGGAAAAAAATATGTGTTTATACATAGATGTATTTTCTTTCATGACAATTCTGTCTGATATTCATTTATTTTGGTTCTTCAAATCAGTAAAGTTATTAAATAGAAATTTAATTTAAAATAAAAGATAGAATGATATGTGGAATGAGATAAGTTTAAGACAGGTGAAGTAAAAGAGAACTTTACAGGTCTGCCTAGGTGGATGGTTGTGCAAAGTTTGTTCATGGAATTATTGTGACCTTCCTCCTTCCTGGTCCAAATTAATAGCGTACCTTATAATTTAAAGGTAGTGAGGTTCTGTATGTGCTTGAGGTTCACGCATAATAGTGACCAATCTTCATGCAGTAGGCATGCATGTTGATTGGCTATGCAGATCAAACATTCAACCTTATCTCACAACTGTCAACTAATTTTTTGCTGAGTTTCAAAACTTGTGTTTTTGAAAACAAGTAGATATTTTGTATGAAGCAAATAGAAGACATTTCATTAAAAAAGTACAAGTTGTATCAAGATTGACATATCACAAATGGAATAGAAACCATCAATGCAATAGTATAAACATGTGACCCCTCTCCAATTACATATGTTAAATTACTGCATAGCAGCAATAGAAACATAATTACTGCTACACTCCTATGTTGTCTGTGTATGTAAACCTGCATCTGAAATTTGAAAACATCATTCCCTGCCTAAATAAACTCTAACAACAACTCCCAAACATAAAGGCCTAGACCAGGATTAAGATTCCAAACCAGAAAAAATGTAATGAAAGGTTTTACTCTTCAATCTAATCCAAGAAAAAGCCATATAGCCATATAGTTAATGTGATGTATCAAATCTCCTCACAAAAAGTCTACATTCCTAAACATAATTTCATTTAGCTAGTTTCATATGACAGATGGTTTTTGAATGAAACTTAAGTTAGAAACATTCAATGTATGTATTTGTCCATAACCGAATATCAAAATTGAATGAAACTTAAGTTGGAAACATTCAGTATCCTGTCTATAATTATGTGTGAAGGTATTTATATATTTAAATATATCTTGTAAAACAAGATCAGTAAGGTTTTTTTCATTCAAGTCCAATTTTGATATCCAAATATATCATATTTCATGTATCTGTCTTAAGATCGAAGCTTATTATTCCAGATGGACCATTATTCAGTGCATGGTTCAATATTTTAACTTCTTTTACTCTTATTCTCCATAGTTCCTTAGACAACAAATATCTTTCTAACTCATGCATGTCACCTTCCTCTCTTCTCCTCTGTCTCCCAATAACAATCTAGTTTGAATACTTTAAATCATCCTAGCTATTCCACTTGGAGCCTTATAAACTGATAGGAAGAAAACAAGTAAAGAAGTTAAGATAGAGTTGATAAATCAACTCTACCTCTTAAGGATAACTACTTATATTTCTGTAGAGTTAATTTCTTTTCGAACTTCCTTGTAATAGGACTCCATGAATCCAATTTTGTGGGACTTGTCTTTATAGGAATTCCCAAATACAAAAACCGTCCAAAAATAAACTTGCAGTCTAATAATGAGGTTAATGCTACAACTTTTGAGTCTTCCACTGCAATTGTTTCACATCTACTTTTAAAAAAATTAACTTTAAGATTCAAACTAATTCAAAGTTCCTGAAGATATCCTTGATAGTTTAATTTATACCAATCTCTCTAATTTCAGCCCTTCTGACATACTTCCTCGTAAGTCTAAGTTAGACCTTCTGCTACAATGGTGAGAAGAAGATGTAACTAAATAAAGGGTCTTAAGAATGCTTTGGCAGAGGCACAATTAAAAGAATTAGATGTTATCTTAATTACTCTTTTAATTGAGAATGATATCATCAGCTGTATGAATCAATGTTGTTAATTTATAAATAAAATATGACAAATCCAATAAACTAATCTGACACATTATTTCTGTTACTTAAATTCAAATGATTAAATACTTCAAATTTTTATGATGATTTATTTTTATTTGTAAATTACAAATCTTATCTTATCTTATAAGTCGATTGAATTACTTTTAATTTCTTAACACGATTAAACATATCTTTTACAAGTCGATTGAATTACTTTTAAAGGTAATTTCTTAACACGATTAAACATATCTTTTTGGTGTAGCGGATTGGTGTAGCGGTTGAAGATCCGTTTCTTCAAATCCTCCAGAAAGTATTAATCATACCCCTCGAGAGACTATTCCTATTGTGACTTTTGTTCCAGATGACTCTGACAATTGGATCGAACAAATAGGAAGAAAAACAATATATGTTTGTTTCTGGTAAAAAATAAAACCCCTACTTTCCCTAATTTTAAGAATAATTTAAAAGGTGATTTTTTTTTTTACACGTTTCTTCATTATGTCATTTAAATGTGAATAAGATATTAAAAGATAATAATATAAATATAAATATTGTTATTTCTTTGTAACAAATGGTACAACTTAATTTACTTTTGACTATTAATATGATTGAGTGTTAGTTTACCATTTTGTTCACATTCGCCCCCAAAACGGATTTAGGATAAAGAGAGTGAATCAGGTAAGAATTTCAAAGTCAAATTCAAATTAAAAATATTCATATTCCATATTAAGTTGGTATATTCGACATATTTTAATTGAGTTTTAAATGGGGGGATAATTTTATTTGCAACGAGTTATAGCAAGACAGGTATATTGATTTTGGTGAAAAAAAGTCTCGAGCATCGTTTCATCCCTGGAAAATACATGCAACTTCAGAACTAAACTCATGTTTTCCAAGAAAGCCATTAGTCACTAGCACCAGGAAATTGTCTATGTAATTTGGCTGTGGTTTGTCCTAAAAAGACAAGACAGTTTACTTTGGAATTTGGATTTATATGTACAATGTTGGTGTTAAAGTTTAAGTTTCTGAACATAGTATTTACATATATGCACAATATTTGACAGCATGCGAAGCAAGTACTTATTGATCAAAGAGAGAATCTGGTTTGAGGGGTCGGGCTGCACGGCGGAACCAGGTGTTGAATGCAGTGACCAAATGAGGACAATCTTCAACGTTTCGGGTTGAAAAGCTGAGGCACCGCTGCAGCAATTCTTGAGCATCGGACATGGGCAACGTGGAGATGATACGTAAGAATGTTTCTTCCAGTTCCAGATACAACGATTTGTTGCTCGGTGAAATTGGGGAAACATTATCTTTGCATACCACTAAAACGGGTAGCCAGTCTTCTACCAGCTTCCTTCTCACCTTAACATACCAAAAAAGTAAGCGTCAATATGCAGCAATCAATTAGAACATCTAATATTGACATATCAAACAATAATATCAGTGAAGAAGGTATGCAATGTGATTAAAATCAATCTCAAATGGAGGGAGACTCATACTTAATGCCAGTGAAATCTTCTAATCAAAATAACAAAGGTGCTGCAGCACTTGGACAAACTTAATTACAGTTCTTTGAGTACTTTCCATACACAATAAAGGCTGACATTTAAGGTCAACACTATGATCATGGTAAAACTCTAACTTTGGTGAAAAAACACCACCAAAAATACGTAAAGAAATACATCCCAGGTTTGTACAGGATAATTTTAAAGGCTTCAAACGTGCCAGAGTGCATTAAAAAGAGAATAATAAAACAGTGAATATCTGACTATTTTGCATTAATTTGCTATTAAGTTATATTATATGTTGCAGCAAAAATGTTCATAGTAAAAATTAAAGCTTAAAATGGTCCATTTAAAAAGCCAGTCTAACAGGCCAAAAATGAACTACCTATTATTACCATTCAATCTAGTTTTACACATCTGGCATTGCAATTAGCAAGTTCGATGATCAAATGCTTCAACCCTCAAGGGGTACTGAATCCCTTTAGAGCAACTCAGCAGCAGCACAATTGGGGGGGCTCCAATAGAATACTTTTTTTCCGATTAAAAAAAGAAATTCTATAGCCAGCATTTCCTACCCAAATATGAGAACTTAGCATCAAATATGCTTTTGGAAGGGAGCGGAGTAAATGAATTCCACATACCAGGTACGAACATAATGTTTCCAATCCCACATTCTCCTCAACTCACGAATTCAACCTTTAAATTTCAACAAAGACAAACAGCACAACATAACAATTTGAAATAACAAAAGTTGAATTGCCCTTATTTCTGCACCTAAGCAATCAGATTCCACACACCACAACATCAACAATTGTTCACCAAAGGCCAGAGTATGTTTGAGTAAACAGCGTAATCAAAGAATAATAAACTCATGAACAAAGGAAAGTGAACACTAAAAATTACCTATCTAGATGAGAGAATAATGCCAGTAGAGACAACATTGGCGAGTCCACATGTACATATGAGAATAACAGCTGGAAGGCCAGGCACAATGTTCCTCCAAGAATCATCACGAAACGCCCTCTGCAAATCAGCGGTGAAACACGCTTGCTCGCTCCATTCCCTCACAGCCACATCCGCAACCCTAAGCTCAATCATTCTTTCCACAAGCCACAGAAGATGATTCCCATTCGTCGAAGCCTTGTGCAGATTCAGCTTCTGAATGGCCTCCGTTTCGTTGTGATCCCCTCTGAACACTGGACTCGAATAATCCTCCAACGACTCCTTAACCGTCTTCAAGCTTCTAGCGAACGCCTTCTCCAACACTCTCTTCGCCGTCTCCCTCGACGACAAATCCCTCAGTATCTTCCCTACAAATGCCTTCACGAACGCCGTGTTGCCGTAACTGTTCATCGCCGACGAAACCAGACCCTCGAGCATCGCTTCGCACGAGTCCTCTCTCGATGGCGAAACCCTAGCCACGAGCTCCTTCGACTCTTCCTCGCTCAGGAACGGGATTAATCTCACCACTCGCTTCTCTTCCTCCTCCGTCCATGGCACCGCCTCCAGGAAATCCACGCACCAACGCACACACTCCTCGAACAGAAGCTCCAGCGCCACCGGCAACAGATCTAGCGCCGTTGAAGCGCTATCCACCACGGCAGAGAAGTCGTTAGTGTAGAGAAGCTCCAGGACGGTGAGATGAGATTGGATCGAGCCAGTAGAGGGGGGAACACCGAGGTTGAGGAGGAAGCGGTCGCCGTCGGTTGAGGTTGCGTGATCTGATGCTTGGACGTGGCCAATCCACCGGTCGGATAGGAGAGCAGAGAAATATTTGGAGCGACGGAGGATGTCGGAGTGGAGGTAAACGTGGAAGTCGGAATTGGAAACAGAATCAGAGGTGGCGGTGGCGGTGGGGGAGGACTGAAGTGGAGAGGGAGAATCCATGAAGAGGCGGAGGAAGACGTCAGCAGTGACAGCGTCGTTGAAATGGAAAGCTTCATCTGTGGAGGAAGTGGAACGGTCGTCCGCCATGGGCGAGGGACGGTCATCCACCATTGGAGCGGGACGGTCATCAGCCATGGAAGAGGGACGGTGTTGTTGTTGGGAGATTTCGGTTAGGGTTACGTCTGAGACGGAGGAGATGGTGCCGACAGTGGAGGAGGAACGGCGGGCGGCGGTTCGTTGCCGCTTTTTAGGGATTCCGGCGCTGGGAATCATCGGAATGGATTAGAACGAAATGGAGGAAAATACTTTTTTAGAGTTTTTCTTTTTTTAGTGTATTGAGGGAAAAGGAAGGTAATGGATCACGATTGTGCTGGAGAGTGGGGACGGAGGTGAGAAAGAACCCTTTCTGTCCATTTTTTTTTATCATTTTTAAAAAAAATGAAATATATTTTCTTTTTCTTTATTAAGAGAGAGTGGATATGTTTTACTTTTCTTTTCTTTCTTTTTTTTAATAATAACCAGATGAATTTAGTAATTTTTTAATATAATCTTAGATTTTTTATGTACAACATAATTAATTGTCCAGAAATACTACAAGTAATTTCTAAAACACACAAAATGAGTAGGTAATGATAAAATTGTAAATATGCAGAAATTATAAATATTAATTTTTATTATTAATAAAAAATAAAAAAACACCTGTCTAGGATCACCTAGTGAATTCTATTAATCAAAACAATCTTATCCAAAACCATCAGCAGTTAGACGGTATCTCTCATCTCATGAGTTGTTTTCTTTTCTAAGAAATAAAAGAAATGAAACAATCACATGCCGCCACGTCTCAAATCAAGACAAGGATGCTGGGTCCCTTAAACATAAAAATTTAATTTTTTTTATATTAAAAAAAAGGTACCAGATGCTTCAAGTAATGCAGGTGTACAAATTAAGACAATGGGTTCGGATAGCATTATAGCCTTTCTTCTAACATGGATTCCGCTACCCTTACCCAATGGGCTTAAAAGATCAAACCAGGCTTCTTGGCTGAACACACAACCTCAAACACTCTATACTCAAGACAGTATTACTAATTACACCGATCTGAATTACTCAACGTACCCCCTTTTCATATACTGAAGAGCTGCATATTGCTACAGTTTAAGCAAAACAAATATTTTGTGTATCGTACCCAGTGGAAGCTGAACGGTTAACATTTAGCATTGTTCGGTCCATCCACTCAGGTCAAAGATCGAACCGCAATTGAACCAGCTTAAGCTATTGTTGGGCCAAGAGTCCAGCAGATGATAAAATAATCAAAGAATATCTAATTAAAGATATTAATAAAGCAGGTTATAAACAACCAGTCAGATTTTCATGTAATCTGTTTATATTTTATTGGGCTTATATCAACTCAAGATCCATGAGGTAAATTATAAATACAAAGTCAAGGCCGAAAGCCAGTTACGTTTTCACTTACACATTATTCACTCTCCCCTACTCTCCAAATATTCAAACAGTGTTAATCAAGCATTGATTGTCTTATTAAGAGTAAATAATCTTCAACCACATGCCTAACTAGAGCGTCGGAGTGCCTTTTGCAGGTACATCCTTCCTCGTCAAGAAGAAGACCGATCGGTCGATGCCAATACCAATCGGCCAATAGCAGGAGTTTTGGAAGCAAGCGAGCTGTTCACCACGTCAACAGGTCAGTCTCTCGGTCCCATACTTTTATACCGAAACATTTTGTATGAATGATTTATTGATATGATATTTTAGGAAAAAAATTATTAATGTTTATGGTATTCGTTCCTTTTCATCAAGTTTACCAAAATTACCAAAAGAAAATTAAAACTATGAAATTTAGCAATAAAACGTATTATTTTGAAAGAAATTATAGTAAAAAAGTATGTGTATTTTTAGTCATGGTATTTTAATTGTCTTTTATTTTCTTTCATTATCACTCTTATTTGTTGTTTAGATATAACACTCTTTTGCAAAACAAGCAATATTTGCATAATCGATATCATGAACAAGAACGGACATAGTGTATTATCAGGATTGAGAATACGAATTTAGGAACCCAACATTGATAGTATATATAAAAAAAAGTCTTGATAATACTTGGAAGTGACTACTTCTCATGTATTCAAATCTTTCAACAATATACAACAAAAGATCTCGATAAACCTCCACACACATGCAACAAGACCAAACCTTTGTAATGTTGGATTAAGGATGTGATTAACAAGTTAAAATACCATTTTAGCAACAAATCATGATTAAGTAATGATTTCACAATTGTTAAAATGAGGGAAGGGTATAGGTCCATCATCACCATTATAAATATGAGTGGTTGGGTAAGAGATGAGTAGTGTTAGATTATTTTGTATGTTTGGAATGAGTCATTGATTCGTGTTTAATGTGACTAGTTGGTTGTTTTGGCCATTTAGAGTTAGTGTTAAACTGTTTTGTATGGTTGGAATGACGTAAATTTTGCAGAAATTTTGTTTAGCAAAATTACATAGATTCGCTCGACGAGCATATACTTGATAAGCAAAGTAAAAAAAAAATTATTGACTTGGTGGTTACTATGTGAGCAAAATCTTGTTAGGTGAGACCAAAATTCAAAGAGTTCACTGACTTGATTGTTGTTGGGCGAGAATATACTCGTTCAACGACTTTTGGGAGAGTTTATGTCTGTAAGTTCCAATGGTTTTCTCACTAAGCAAGTATACTTAGTTGTTGAACGAGCAAATCTGGTGGCTAAGAGAAAGGGCTTTAACTGAGCGAGTAGACCTAATGGCTAAGCGAAAATATCGGAATTTTAACAAATTTTTTATATACCTCTTATTATGTGTTTTGTATGTGATTATGTGAATGTTAAAAACAATAATTGGTTTATAATATGATTGTGAGCATGTATGGTGGTTATTCATGTGATATGATGATGATGACAAGTATGTTATTGATTATGTGCATAGTATCAATGTTTAACGTAATTCCATGAATCTCGTGGTGAGATTCTATGGTGACGTGTAGTAGTGTGTTTTATTAATGTATGGACTCGGTCTTGAAAGTTATTCTGATAATCACTTCATCTCAAGTAAAAAAGAAGAGTTATGTGGTGAGGAGTAATAGGAGGTCATAGTCTATGGTTTGATTATTTGACTATAAATGATAGATGTATTCACCTTGTATAATAGCTTAGGTGGACAGAGTGTTCAACCATTACAAATGCAAAACTTGTCATATTTTTACATCAATATACATATTCGAATGATAAGTCTATATGTTATGATTTGTGTAAATTATTGTTTAAATTGAAAATAAAATTATCATGTATACTCGATTTAATTATTTAATTGTGTGATTGCTTTTTTATAAGAGTTAGTTTATTTTTCTGCTTGTGTTTGTTTGATCTTTTCTTTTGCAATAATTGCTTAATTGTTGAAATGAAATGAGAGGATGATATTTTAATTGAATTTGAATTGGCTAATAGAGAAAATCGTGTTTAGGAAGTTATACAGAGATTATAGCTAGTTTTAATTCTTTATGAATAATTTTCATAGTTTAAATACTTTTTAGTTGTAGAGGTTCTTGTATATAATTTTTGTGTTATGGTTATACTGGAACGAATGTGATGCTCTTATGTTTTACTTTAAGTGAACAGATCTTGTTTATTAATATGTAAAATTCCATAAGAATATAAAAACTATTAAAAATAAAATGTTAAAAGAAAAGTTCATAATTTTTAAATATAAAACGAGTTCTAAATCACGTCTATCCTCGACCAGAAATCCGTGATATTATTTTAATACAACTATCACTATTAATATTTTTCTAAAACACGGAAAGATATGAAAATATATATTTTACGTCATTTTATTAAAAGTTGATCATGATTTTATAAATTATTCAATTCCATAGTTTTTTTTATAACTATTATAATTAAATTTAGTTGAATTTGACCGTTAGCTTAAAAAGGTAAATCTAACCAACTTATGTGAGTTATTTAAAAAAGTTCACTTAATCAGAACTATTTTTATATCCATTGTCTAAGATATCATCATTTCATATATAGAAAATATTACATAGGTATTTTAAAAATAGTTCTTCCATTTTAGTATAAATTTTAGTGACAAAAAAAAACAGTGGTGACAAAATGTTCCATTCTATCTTGT